GTGACACACACACACACACACACACACACACACGTGCACACCAGTCTGAAATCGGCCATTTACTTGACATAACGTTTTATACGAGACCTTGTTAATGTACAAACTTAGGATTTAAAAATAATAACAGTAATGAATTTGTACTTGATTTTATATTAAACTATGCTAACTTCTTGGGTTTTCTAGTTGCAAATCTTTCTTTCACATTGGAAATCTTGAATTTGCACTTGTATTTTTGTTTTATTGAGTCAGAATGCACATAGCATAAAATGTTCTCAAGTGAATTTTAGTACATACACACAGTAGTATTATCAGTATATCCTAATTTTAGAATATTTCCACTATACCAAAAATAAACATTGTACCTCTTTCTTTATACGCTGCTCCTTCTCGCGGCCGCCATATCGACACAACCACTAAATCTGTTTCGTGTGAGTAGATTTGCCGGTGCAAGACAAACACAGAATGTGGCATTTTGTGTCTGGGCTTTTCACAGTTTTAACGAGTGCAAGCTCATCCTTGCTGTAACAGGTATCAGGACCCCTTTACTTTTTAAATTGTAGAATAATACCACATAGTATGAATGTTCATTTTCTTTTTTCCATTCATTCATCAATTTAGGATCTTTTTAAATTTTGTGTGTATGAGCATTTGCTTGCATGTTTATATGTGCACCGTGTGTGTGCAGTGCCCACAGAGGCCAGAATAATGTTGGGTTTCCAGGAACTGGGTTACAGCTTATTGTGTGTGGTGGCGGAGGTGCTCGGAACTGAACTGGAGTCCTGCTGGAAGAGCAGCAGGTGTTCTTAACCTTGAAGACATCTCCTTAGCCCCTAGATTGTTTCTTCTGGAACTGCTGTAGGTGATACTGCTGTAAACATTGGTGTTCACGGTTTTCGCGTGAGTCTGTTTTCACTCCGCTCTGCTTCCCTCTTTCCTGTGCGGATGAGTTACTGTGGACAGCATGATCTTTCAGCCTGGAGAACTTGCTTTATTATTTCACTGCAGCAGATCTCTTGCAACTATTCTCTCTGCTTTGGGCTATCTTGGAATGTCCTTGTGCTCTCCTCACTTTTGATGGAGAGCTTAGTTGACAAACCGTTTGCTTTCTTTCTTTTTTAAAATCACTCTGAGTATGTCACCTCTTTACTGGCTTCTATTGCGAGAAGTCACTCATTCATAATGAGCTGCGTTTAAATTTTGTTTGCTTTTCTTGTTGATTCCAAGCCTTTCCTCTTTATCTTTGACTTTTAGCAGCCTCGTGATGTTCCTGGATATGAGTGTCAGGGTCCATGGTCTTTCTTCCAAGGCCCTTGATTTTTCTGTTATTCTTTGGCTGGTCTGCCTCTACTGGTATCATAGATCTTCTCCCGTGGTTCATGTGGTACCTATCATTGTTGACCCTGCTCTGGGGCAATGATATGTAAAATCAAAGGCTGTATTATATTTAAGGTGGCACTGGGATATAAGATATTTAGTGTGGTGAGGAAAGAGCTTCCAAAAGCCTGTTCACCACATTTTGCCTCAAAAAGAAGGGTTGTGAGTATTGGGACCCAGGCTGAACCCTCACGAAAGACCCCCAACACTGTCACAACAAATTGGCTCATGATACGTTTATCATTTTCTATTGTGGTTTGGATTAGAAAGACCATGAAGCTATCTGTGTGGATTCAGACTCCTGTGTTTTGCCAGTGATTTCATTCACTTGCTAATGAGCATAAGCATTAGTGAGCTCCAGTGACACTGAACTCTCTGGTAAGCAACACAGTGAAGAACAAGGCAATCGAGGCTCCTTAGGGGACTCGCACACTGCTCAGGCAGGACAAACATCTTCACGTAGATCAATTACACATCACAAGGCAATCGAGGCTCCTTAGGGGACTCGCACACTGCTCAGGCAGGACAAACATCTTCACATAGATCTATTACACATCGTAACATTTTATCAAGTACAGAGTTCTGGACGCAGGAGGATTGGGAAGTCAGAGGGTGTCTCTGAGAAAGCATGGTTAGACCAAGGCGTGGGAAAGGGTTGCAGGGAAGAGGCAGTGAAGAGCAGCCAAGCGGAAGACACCATGGAGAAGAAGAGAGATCTGTGAGGCAGTGGAGGCTTGAATGAAGATGAGCCTGTAGACTCTCATATTTGCATGCTTAGTTGCTGGTGGCTGAACTATCTGGAAAGGATTGGGAGGTGCAACCTTGCTGCCTTCACTAGGTGTGTCACTAGGACTTGGCTTTGAGCTCTCAAAAGCCCATATCAGACCTAGTCTTTCTGTCTGTCTCTGTCTCTATCCCCCTCTCCCTCCTACATCCCCTCCCTCCCTCCCTCCCTCCCTCCCTCCCTCCCTCCCTCCCTCTCTCTCTCTCTCTCTCTCTCTCTCTCTCTCTCTCTCTCTCTCTCTCTCTCTGCCTGTTGCAGCCTGGGGATCAGGACGTAGAGCTCTCAGCTACTGCTATAGCACCATGCCTGTCTGCTTCCCACCATGATAATAGTAGACTCACCCTTTGAAACTGTAAGCCAGCCCCAATTAGATGCTCTCCTTCACAAGAGTTGCCTTGGTCAGGGTGTTGTTTCACACTAATAGAACACTGACTAAGACAAAGACTATGAAAATTAAAGACAGCCAGTCTGGCAGAAAACCAGAAGCTTGAAAAGATACTAAGCAACAGCATAGTGATGTAAGGACTCAAATCCCATGTGTCTTGAATTTCCTCTGTGTACTGGCTAGTTTCATGTCACCTTGACACAAACTAGAGTCATCTGAGAGGAAGTAAGCCCAACTGAGAAAATGCTTTCTGAGGGCATGCCTGTAGAGCAGTGGTTTTCAACCTTCCTCTTTATACAGTTCCTCATGTGGTGACCCCACCCGTAAGATTATCCTTGCTCCAACTTCTTAACTGTAATTTTGTTATTGTTATTAATTGTAACGTAAATATCTGTGTTTTCCAGTGTTCTTCGGTGACCCCTGTGAAAGAGTCATTCAATACCCGCAAAGGGGTTGTGACCACAGGTTGAGAACTGCTGCTATAGGGCATTTTAAAGTAGAGATTGAAGAGGGAGGGTCCAGCACATTGTGGGAACTATCACCTCTGGGCTGCTGGTCCTGGATTATATGAAAGCAGGCTGAGCAAGCCAGTTAGCAGCACACTCCACAGCCTCTGCATCAGCTCCGGCCCCCAGGTTCCTGTCCTGCTTGAGTTCCTGCCCTGACTTCCCTCAGTAATGGACCGTTACCTAGAAGCATAAGCTGAAACACACCCCCACACACTGCTTTTGGTCATGGTATTGTATCACAGCAATTGTAAACCAGCTAAGATATTGTACTTGGTTTTGAGTACCCAGCACAACATGACTTTGTTTACCTTTTGAAAATAATGGCTGTGAAAGATAACTAGGTGGGATCGCTGGGTGGGACCAGAGAGGGAGAGCAAGAAGAGGCAGGTAAAAAGAGACGGTGTGACTTAGCTTAGGGGAATAAGGAAAATGGGCAGACCGAAAAACATACATCTTTAGTTCTACTCTATGGTACCAAATTATAATTCAATCACCAAATTTCTCATTGCATTATGATTTTAGCAAGGTAAAGCTTTGGTGATTGATATTATATTATGATATTTCTTAACTAATTATTCCTCTTCTCAGAAAGTAAATCAGACATGGTTTAGCAGAAATAAAAAGAGAATGAAAAGAGATTGGGGAACCCAAGAGGGATGAAGAAAAGGCTGATGGATCCTAAGAGCCAGAGGGGTGGACATGGCTCACAGAATCAACCAAGCAGGGCTCATAGGAGCTCACAGAGACTGAAACGGCAAGCATAGAACCTGCGTGGGTCTGCGCTAGGTCCTCTGTGTGTGCGCCATGGTTGCTTAGCTTGGGGTTTGGTGGGACTCCCAACAGTGGGAGCATTGACCAAATGACTCTTTTGCCTTCTCTTGGGACACTTTTCCTACGACTTGGTTGCCTTGCCTATCCTTGATATGAGGGTCTGTAGCTCGTATTATTGCATCTTGTTATGTTATGTTCAGTTGATGTCCCTGGGATGCCTGCCCTTTTCTGAAGGGAAACAGAGGAGGAGTGGATCTGGGTAAATTGGGAGATGTGGCTGGGGGTGGAGGGAGGGGAGGCTGTGGTAGGGATGTATTGTATGAGAGAAGAATAAATAAAGAGATTAAAGAGAGAGAAAGAGAAAGAAAAGAAAGAGATATAGGGGAGGGACTGCAGAAATAGGAGAAAAGGAAAAATTCAAGTGATTTACGTGGGTTCACAGAAATTATAGAAGACATGTTGTTAGCTCTAACAAGAGAGTTCAGTGGGCTTACTGCATGAAAACACAACTGAATGCATTTCTATTTTTTATACTTGTTTATTATTGTATTTGTATGTATTTGCATGCATGTATAGACATTAAAAAGCAGCTTGCAGGGGAAAAAAGAACAAATAATACCTCATTAAACAGATAGTAAACTTTGCCTTCAAAGACATTGGGCAAGGGTATGATCTTGCATCATTTTTTAAACTGAACTGCAGAAGTTTGAGTCCTGATGGTTTTAACTAAGACCTTGGAGAGGTTCCTCGGCTCCGCTGTTGTTTCTGATGGAAGAGTCCCCTGGAGGTTAGGGCATTTCTGAGAATGGAGGCCTGGGGCGTGACTCTTGCTCAGAAGCTGCAGTTATTATCTTCTCTCGGCTTACAAGCCACTGTCTGGGTAGTCCACCCTATTCAAAATGCTCGCTTAACCTAGAACAAGAAGGTATTTAATTCTTTGAGTTTCTGGATAAAGAAATCATAGCCTAGAGTGACTTATCCAAGAGCAAAGAGTTCACAAGAGGCATACTGGGCTTCTTTGAATACCCAGCAGCTTCCTAAAGGGACACATTGCTGCACATTTAAGTGTTCTAATGCTTAGCTAAAAGATCTTAGAGGAACACATAAAACCCTTTCATGTCCTCCATTAGGCATAAGGACAAAGATGGCTAACAGTAACCTATGTTCTCTTTACCAGTTACATTCTATGGGAAAACTTCCTGGGACCAGAATGGCAGAGTTGAAAGCCAAGTACACCTTGCTCCATGACATGGTGGTGAGGTATGCCATTTGCCAATACGGAGACACGCTCTAGCACATCTTTATCCCTTACTTGTCTTCACTTTTGTTCCTTCCAAATGTGGAGTCTGAGGCAAGGGTCAGAGTTCAGGTAGATTTTGACAATACGGGAGAAAACATTGTGAGTGAGTAGGGAATTGAGACTGAAAAGGAAGAATCCAGATGGGGGGGTCATCTGTGGTTCATGCTGTGGCACCTGGGCCCAAGCTCATGGATTGCCTAGGTATTTGGAGCAATCTTAGCTCTGCACCACGAAGTGACACAGCCAGGGCATTTGCCCACTTGTTTCCATCCCTCATTGAGAATGGCTCCTGGGGAAATTAACTCTTGAACTTCGAGATGACAAGCATGTGTGTAGGGCCAGCAGTCCTTAGGCAGAGGGACACAGGTGCTGATGCACGTACGGTGACTATGTGTTGAAACTACTTAGGAGAAGAGGGTTTTGGTGGAGCCCTGAAGACATGTGCGGTCCTGCAGCACCCTCACCAACTGTTGTTGGGAAGGATAGATTCCATGATAGCTCAGGCTTGACCTACTAAGACCTCCACCTGTAGTTCTCACCAGGTCCTCCTACCTCAGCCACCGTCTGAAGCTAAGTCCCAGTCAGCAGACGGTGTGTCCGCAGAGTAAGGCAGCAGCTTTGCCCACAGCCTATATGCCACTGGGAGTTGAAGCTATCTGAGGAGTTCTTTACCATAGTAACAACTACCGGGGCAAGACCGAAAGTCTGTGGTGATATCTTCTGCTTCCAGGTGGAGTTGTGAAAGAGCTGCTTCCCTTCTGCTAGTCACACCTACCTCCTCTTGGTCCCTTCCTTCCTTCTCTACCCATTATAGAACCTGCCACAGGGAGAGCACAAAGAAGCTCATGCTAGACTTTCACTCCTGAGGCGCAGGCAGGCTGATGTGGGTTGGAAGCCCTGAACCAGCATTGATTGTCAAGAGCATTTGTGTGCTGACTGGGAGCTAACCGCTGAGCTGCCTGCTTTCCGTGCGGAAAAGCACTGTGGCCTGACCCAGCACTGGCGGCTCATGTCAGATGAGCAGCCAGTGTGTTCACATACAAGAACACGGAACGTAAGAGAGTGACTCCCATTTCCATTCCTGGAAATTGTTCTCATCAGCGTTGCTCTCCGTGCTCTCTGGCACCTACCGTAGTCCCTGGAACACATTATGTTCCAATAAACGTGAGGCTGGATGCCACTGAACACACGACACAGCAAAGCCTGGGAGAGTGGGGGGGCAGTCACCTCAGCCCAGAGAGGCCTCCTCGGGCTATGGGACATCTCTGCAAATGAGCTGAAACTAGACGGGTTTGTTTTGTTTTGTAAGGAAATGGAAACTGCATGCTGGCCTTGAAACAGAACATAGCAAAGACCTGCCTCTGGATAAGCCACGCCTAGTAGAAGTCGGAGCCAGTACTAGCTCGTAGCATCCTTGGGGATATCAAGTACACTTTATCTGTCTATCCAAATCTGCCTGCAGCAGATGCCCCTTCACTAAACAGGCCACAGAACACGACTGGGATCACAGAGATCCCCTTTTCTATGATCTTCAAGTCTGCTTCTAGCCAGGCATCAGGACAGGGTTAAACACTGATTAATTAATGTTCAAGATTTTATAGGAGAATTTTCTGGGTTTCCCAGTAGTGGCCGTTAGAGGAGTGCTTGATGTCTTAGCTCAGTAAAGGGAAAAGATCTTGACGCAGTCAAGTTTAGAAAATTAAAAACACCAAGAAACATGGGTTTGGAGCCGTTGAAGGACAACTTCCCTCTCATTTCCCCCTTCCTCGGAAGTCCTGGTCTTTCTTCAAAGTCAGAGGGGACATCCTGTTCCCTTGGAATTACATGTTTTCTCCATTGTCCCCACTCCCCGGGTCTAGACACCTCTGGAGGTGCTTATGACTAAGCACTGTGCCTGACTGTGTATATCCTATCTCCCTACTGGAGGTTGGGCATCTCAGACCCATAGGCGAGCCTCATTCATGACCGCACTGAGACTTGGCCCCACGTGTGACTGTGAACTGAATCCAGGAATGGGAGCAGCTGGGACGTGCTCCCACCCTATCCCCACATCCTCTCGGGAATAAGGGAGGGTCCTGAGGATGCGCACCTCCTCACTGTCAATGTCTTTCCCTCTACCCTAGCACGCAAGAGTCGGAGCTGCAGCTGCTGCAGAATGCCAAGCTCTTCACAGAGCAGATCCAGCAGCAGCTTGTCCGCTTGCAGCAGGCCGATGACTTCCCCAACGTCTTCTCCACTGAGGTCTGCAAACTGAGGGAGCAACTGCTCAAGTACCAAAATGAGTACAACGCAGTCCAAGAGAGGGAGTACCACAATCAGTACAGGCTGAACAGGTGAGCTCCGTGCCTGGAGAGGCCCACAGAGGTGCAGGCTGGACAGGTGAGCTCCTTGCCTGGAGAGGCCCACAGAGGTGCAGGCTGAACAGGTGAGTTCCCAGAGCCTGGAGAGGCCCACAGAGATGCAGGCTGGACAAGTGAGCTCCGTGTCTGGAGACAGTCCACAGAGGTGCAGGATGGACAGGTGAGTTCCCAGAGCCTGGAGAGGCCCACAGAGGTGCAGGCTGGTTAGGTGAGTTCCTTGCATGTTGGTGGCAGAAGTTAAGTTGGGAAGGTGTACAAGGAGGATGAGCTAACAACTACAAGCCCAGCTAGTTTTCCTCTTGACTCCACAAGTACTAGGAAAATAGCTCAGGTGACAAAATCCCTGTCGTGTTTTCTGGGTGTCCGGGACTCCAGAGCTTTGGAAGCTGCACAGAGCAAGGACTTGGTGGCCTCTTCTGCTTACCTGTCCTTGGTTGCATCTGTCGCATGCCCTCTCCTCTCTCGCTGTCTGTCCTGACAGTGCCACGCCCTCTGGCCTGGGTCACAGCTCCTTCCCTCCTTTCTTCTAACACAGCAGGGACAGAACCATGTACCCGACCTTCATCCCCTATTACTAAAGAAAAACTGTAAAGATTCTTTCTCTTATTCAGGAGTCACTTAGCAAAGCAGGTACTGGCGGGAGGGGACCTGTCTCTCCTGTCCCTGTGGAAGTTCAGCATGCCCAGCTGTCTAGGGCTGCCTGTGACTTGTAGTTTGAGTTGTGGCGTGCTGTCCCTGGGCACTGGAGAAAAGCCAACCCCGTCCTCCTGGACTCTGCTCCCATGTAAGGTAGCAGAGCTTTGGTGGTTTTACCAGAGTGTAGATTCAGACACTGCAAACGTAATTCGGTCCTGCCAGGGGGTGACAAATGCCTGAGTGGCCTCCGGAAAACTGTGCGGCCCCTGGGTCTTGAGATCTCCTCTTGTTGCTTATTTTTTTCAGCTGAGGGATAGATAACAAAGGCAGTTTAACGAAGAGAATTCTATTCAGAGAGAACAGTCAGGCGGCCTTTTCCATGTGTCTTTCGTCTAAAATCGTTTCAGACTCTCCAGAGAGGGCTATAAAAAGAAAGCCCAGCTATTTCTGTAAGCACTCACTCTCAGCTGAAAACAATAATGAAATTAAAACAATTGCTGGTTGTTCATTAGTGTTGCAAATAGGAATTTGTGACATTTGGTTAAAGGGTACCAAGCACATAAGTCAGCCGATTTTTAAATTGTTTAAAATTTCCAAGCATTCCTGCCAAGAAATAAGTAGAGGCGGGGATGGGGCGAGAACTCTTGCCTTTTAGGTATAGACAGGCAAATTGTTCACCAAGCTCCTCAGGATAGTGAATGGATGTGTGCGGTGACTTACACTAAATGAGAACCGTCCAAAGCATGTGACAGTTTACACTGAGCAGACCCCCTGTGCCCTCAAATATCAACAGCTCAGGAAACAATACACTCATTTCTATAAAAATTAGTTTTGCTACCAGAGGGACTGCAGCGAGGAATAATGGGTTTTGCATTGCATTGCCTTCACACATCGGCTATCACATAGTGCAGAAACAAATTCACCCCATGGTCCCAGGGGGAAAGTGGGCATTTCTATCAACAGACAAAAATAGACGAAGCCATTGAGAGAGAGCTATTCATCCAAATATACAGACGGTATTTGTCAGTGCAGCACAGTGAACTCTCGTTGTATCCAGTGCGTGAATAACAGAAGCCCAAGTCGCCAGCACCCTCCACCCCAGTGTCTTCAGGAACTTCTGAATCACTGGTGCCTGACAAGAACACAATCAAGTTATTTCAGTTTGGCTGCTCCATTGGCTGCTGCTGCCGCCTCCACTGACTCTTCCTCCTTCTCCTCTTCTTCTTCCTCCTCTTCCTCCTCCTCCTCTTTCTCCTACTCTTCCTCCTCCTCCTCTTCCTCCTCCTCCTCTTCCTCCTCTTCCTCTTCCACCTCTTCCTCCTCCTCCTCCTCCTCCTCTTCCTCCTCCTCACAGAGATCTGCCTCTACATGTGTCTCCCAGGTAAATTAAATTAAAGGCATGTGCCACCATTCAACAACTTCTGTCTTCCCACAAAATAAGATTTTTAACAGATGCTAATGGTCAGTAAAATTGTTTGATTAGTTAACAACTAAATCTGTGTTACAGTTTTAGTTGAGGGCCCGTACTCACTGATGATCTATTGATAAATACACACTTTAGGAAGAAAGTGTGTGACATATTTAAGTAAGCTAAGTCAATATAGATTAAACAATGAGGTAGTTAGATGCATACTCAGGGAACTTATTTTGTAACCAAGGAAGTCATTATTTTCCTGAAAGCTTTCTCTGAGAAAGGCTTTTCAATATTCTCTTCAATATTTGCCTTTCTCTTATGTTTTGTAGTTTCCCTGTTTCCCACTAATTCCTAAATTTGGGGCAGCAAATACATTGTGTCTCTTGGGTTAACTCTGACATATTCTGAAAACCCTTGGTCAGTTGGGGAAGCAAGGCCATGGTTAGTGTCATTGGTCATCGTATGGACATGGACAGTGTTGACACTCTAACTGGGCATGTGCAGGGATGTCCTTGTTGACTCTTGGGAACTGGTTCTTCTAATCCCTGTTGCTGCCCACATAGGCTTTTTACACATCAAAGTAAAAACCCAGGAACAAACCCATCAGCAAGAATGTGATGCAGGAATGTGGGGCGTGTCCCAGAGTGCTGGAGCCTCTCCGCTCTTAGGCAGGCTCAGTTAGGGTACCAGGAGCTCCCAGCCGCATGAACTTTCCTTAGTCAGTAGCCTGTGAGTGTGTGTCTCACCATCCAAAGCATGGAAATCACAGATTCATAGATGAGAACTTAGGAGGGACAGAGCAGAACTCTTGTGTAGCAGGAGGCTCCCAGGTAGTAGGATGCCATCAAGTTCCATGGTCTGCCAGAAACCACGCTAGTGTGACTCTGGCTCTCACCAACTGTTAAGGGCACTGAAGCTTCATTTGAATCCATGGCTGCAGACACAGAACCGAGAACGGGAGAGATTGGAGGTTTCTGTGACTCGCCCTCCTCTCCCCACCCCCAAAAAGAAGAAACAAAACCAGCTCGGACATGAAGCTACTGAAGAGAGTCCTTAAAACTGTGATACAGATGCTGAAGTGTAGCTCTGCACAGCTGACGGCTTCTGACAGGGCTGAGGTGGGGAGGTCTCAGTTTTCTTTCAGGGGCTGGTCACTGGGAGTTTGGTCATGCTCCAGTGAGCATATGGGCAGCACAATCGGACTTGGTGGTTCTTCTCGTCTTTTCCTCCTGGGTTGGAAGGGCGCAAGGGTGGTGGGTGGACCTGGGAGGAACGGGAAGCAAGTGTGATCAGGTGCATTGTATGAAAGTCCCAAATAATTAATAAAAATATTAGGTTGGGGAAAATTAAAAACTAAAGCACCTTATACCATTAAAAAAAATGGTCTCAAAGTTAGTCTTAGTCCTGCCTGCTATATTCAGCCAAGGATCCTTAAAGGCCAGTCAGTCTGCATTTGAACACCCCAAGGCCTGGCCTTGCACAGTGACACAATTCAGCTTTGAAAAGCCACACAGTGGGATGGTTCAGTGGAGAAACCGGCCTTCTCCAGTTCCTACCACTCACGCCTAGCTTCCTCCGGTGGCTGATGCCCCCCTCTCTCCTGCAGTGCCAGCCCCCCTACGTGTCTTTGTGCGCGTACCCTTTAAAGCCACAAACCCCCGGGGCACGGTTTCTGTCCGACTAATTTGATGCTGGATGGACATTAATCCTAAAGAGATTTGCTGTTGAAGCCTCCTTCAGTGGGGAAGCTGAGAAAAAAAAAATCAAGATTGAAATTTGGCTATGAGTATAAAAAGTTAAGAGTTAATACTTACCATAATATATGGTATATATTGCCACATCAAAAAAAAGAGTCTTGTCCCAGTAATGCCATGCAAAAATGAAAATCTAAAAGGAGAAAAACAGATGAAATATAATTTTTTCAACATGAAAAATTGGAAGCCATCTGAACTTTTGAAAAATGATAGTCTCTCAGCAGATTGCATTCCAATAGAAAACCTTAAAAATTACTATTCAATTACTAGTTGTGAGATCTGTTTAGCAACTAGAAAAACATTATAGTAATTTAAATAAAATAAACTCAATCATGCATAGTTAATATAATTTTATGAAGGATATATAGGAAAATGAAATGGCCGTCCATGATATAAGACATCAAGGTTATGATGATCTTTGAGAACAGAAGCAGATACCTCTCAAAGGAAATGAAAATCTATATTTCTTAATGGGGGAACTCCATAATAGAAATATAATTTAGTTTTCACAGTCCCAGAAAATTAACCATTGTGTTTGTTCACAGAAAATGCCATTTTATATGTATCTAAAAAGAAGTCTACACGCTACAAGCCTTTGTCAATAACTTCACGTCACCTTGTTGCCTGTATCAGGGACGGCTGGCTGCACACTACCTCCCCCTGGTGGCAGCATGCCCAAAGTGCAGCAGCAATGCGTAGGGAAAGGAAGCTAGTGTCAAGTCATAAGCACACAAAACTGAGAACTCAGCTTGAACATGTGCTCAGTGTGACACGCATTGTGAAACTACCAGGCATTGATACCATTGCCACGATGTCTTCTGGAAATAAAACCTGATGCACAGATGTATACTGCTTGGTGGGATCTACTTGATACAGCAGGACCAATGGTCACTATACTCCATTCCCCCCACACCTCATCATCTGGCTAAGTCTTCTGTGTTTTCAAGTTCGTGATGATCATTAAATGCAGAAAAATAAAAGAATCTGTGCAAAATAGAGTTCAAACTATGGTAGTTGAGAAGAAGTAGCAAATGACTATATCTACCCCGCTGTCACTATTTATTTAGTTTAGAACATTTGGGCCAACCCTAACTGAAACAATTTCCAAAATCTCACTTTTGCATAACGTCACCTCTTCCCAGTGCTTAGAACGAAAGGACAGGAGCTCT